TCCGTTAATCAGAATGTTAACTTCGTTAATTACCGATTAACGGGTTAACGAGTTAATGCCCAGCTAATGATCATGGATTAGCTTGCCTGGTCCAATAATTTTGCTCTTCTGTTACCTAGGTATGTTAGAAACTTCTTTTAGGTATGTTAAAAACTTCGAAAATGTATCAGGAAAGGGAAATATTAATCCAATTTTTGCTGATGCAGGTCGGCGTTAGGCCCTGGCCACAGCTTCTAGCGGTGCGGCGCGCGGTGCGACGGGAGGCGCGGCGGGCGACGCGATTTGCGTTGGTATGCCACAGCTCGACTAGTTGCGACCGCGGCGGCGTCAGCGGTGGATGTACTCAGTATTATTTATAATGGCCCTATCAAAAGTGGCACGATATTGTCTTGAGACTAATGCGTTTTTAGCTCAAGATATCATTAACTCTAAAATTGGAACGCACCCAGTTAATGAAAAAATGAAAAACCTTGGCAAATTTTACACACTTTATCACGAATATAGGAACTATCCAAACTATCTAATCTAACTATCAATTTCTCACTAATAAGTTTTTCGGTATCCATTTGATGCGGAGCGAAATTTTCAAAATAGTTTGTTCAGTTCGCGCGAACACAAATTCGCCCCCTCGCTGCCGCTGCATACGCCGCTCTGGCTGTGGCCGCCTCGATACTCCCCAGTGCATTTGTTTCACTCGCACATCGCGCCGCCCGTCGCCGCCAGATGCCGCGCGACGCTTTTCGCGCCGCAGGTCGCTCCGCAATTCGCGTCGCCGTTAGCTGTGGCATACTTCATACGTTGTCTACCATTTGTTTTCTCCGCTCACCGCTTGTCGCGCCGCATTTCGCGCCGCAATTCGCGCCGCGCTTGGCTGTGGCCAAGGGGTTACGTTCCCGTCTTACAAATTTTACCTAGATATTTTTCCAAGGAGTTATGTAAAATATTTTTACGCAGGAATTGGGATCATCAAAAACATTCTCAGTTCCAGCTAGCGAAACTGTGGTTAAAAAGCTAGGTAGTAAAATAAAAGCACACACATAAATAGGTATCGTTTATTTCAATAGGAAGATAAATAGTCTTTTAAACACATAACAATGTTACTAAATAACATTACTTTCTACGCATTGTATAAATAAGTTGTTGCTTCAATTTAATTTTAAACTATAAGTATATACATATAGACAAGACTTGGGCCGAGGCTCTCAGGCCTGTACAATGTACATTGCATACACTTAGGTACTAGGTACTACATTTTATACATTTATAGTCACATGCATTCATTCTGACTTCTACCAAGTACATTATTGCTTATTATTCTATTCAATAAATAAATAAATAATAGTTGCAATACCTTGCAAACCTGACAGTTGGCCAGTCAACACAAATTATTTAACGTATTGCGATTTTCTTGTGTAGGATACACTCAATCACCTCGGTACAAATAAAACTAGGCACAACATTCCAGTCTAATATTGTCTTACATTAGTCGTAAATCTATATTAAATATACATATAACCAACAATAAAATAACTATAATAACAAAGAACTATTCAGTAAAACAGTTGTCAACATAATAAGATGATTTCAGACTACACAAATTAAGAACTACACTATGCCTAGCTGTACAGACACCAGTACATTAATGCAACGCTGTGGAGGAATATCGGAAACAGGTGTCCCCCTAATATCACGACGCTTTTAGCATGGTTTAGCATGGCTGACGAAAAGACCCATCGTCTGTCCATTGTACTCGACACTGTCGATGGAGGACTGCAGCCTGACCTTTGATCGTGCGAGTAGGTCTACCGAGGCCAACGCCGAGATCTTCTCACCGTCAAGCGTAAGCTGACGTCCTTCGGAAAAGCCGCAAAAATCACATCCATCGACATGTTGAAAAAACAATGACGATGACAATGGGTCTCCCTGGCGAACTCCCTGCCCAACTCTTGCGGGAGCGCTGCGGGTTCCATTCACGTCCAAGCCAGTCTCGGACGTGGCATACAACCTCGCAACATAGTCGTAGAATGCCCCATGCAGGCCTCTTCTCCTGCAATTCGACAAGCGCCGTATGCGACCCTATCGGATTCCTTGAAAAGGCCAGCACTGCGATGTGGCATTCACACAACTTTTCCCCGCAGTCAGCACGGCGTCCGCCGAAAATCGAGTGCCGTTTGCGCAGATGAATCCACGCGCATCATGAGGGCAGCATGTCTTGGACCTCCGCGCCAGGACAGCACGTATGACGGAGAAGCACCGACGCAATCGAGATCGGCCGGTACTCCGTCGCACACGCCGGTACTCGTCCGTATTTGGAACAAACACCGTTCGAAAGCCCCAAAGCTGTGCAGGAACCTCACCATTCGCAAGCCACACATTGAACATTTCCGCCAAGTCGCAGAAGATACCAATTCTCCGGAAGAACTCCGTCGGAACCTGTTAACTAAGCGATAACCTTCACCTCCATAGAAGTGAATGACGCCCACAGCTGGGAGTAATCACGGATGCCCCCGTACTGTTCTGAACGCCGTAAGGCGCTCAAAGCCTCCATCACTGGTCGTATAATATAGTACAGTAGGCTTCCAGCTCAGAGGCACGATGCCGAATACCTGGCTGTTGCAGGTGTTGCGCTTTTTTGCTTCGGCTGTCCCCATGCTTTCACCGCCCCTTTATACTGCTCTCCGCTCTGGTTTACACCGCCGCAAGGAGTTCTTCCATGATCTCGAAGTGACTTTCTAGACTAAAGAGAATCTCTGGAACGGTTGTGGCTCTACTAGCCGGCAGCGGAGCTCCGGTGTCGGGCTTCTGGCAATAGCAGTGCCCGACTCTCTTGGACCGAATGTGAATCTTGGGAGCTTTCTCATGAGGTCTTGATTGACTGTAGCGCTGCGGCCTCCAGCCTTAACCAGACGCATCTCTGCGGCGGCTATGATCTCTGCGTTCTCTTCTCGCCAACTCCATTTCACCTACTTAGGGCTGTCCTCAGCATTGCCTGTGATAGTCATATGGTGTATTTATAGAGACCCTGTCTTTTCTGTTTCTACCGCACTCGGTAAACGGCCAACGCGACCGCCGACGCGGAGGCGTAAAAGAGAAGTTGACGTGCCCGACGAATTATTGGACGCAGTCTCTGCCTCCTGTGTGAGGGCAGAAGCTCGTCCCTCATTTTCATTAGGTACAAATAGAATCCAATAAATTAAAGGCGGCAAGGGTTTAGCTATTGCCGCCCCGTTTGTCCACAGCTCTCCATGTCCCGAACCGTATGAGCTGCCAGGACTTGCGTGGACCCCAAAGTATTTCAACCCTGGACAGTAGACACTTTGATTTTATACTCCTTAGACTACCCCGCATTGTATCAAGGTTTGCTATATTTTCGGACCTTCCAGATGTCACTCCTTCAGGTCTAATTGCACTGGGTATGCATTTTCAAAAATTTGAACAGTCAGCTACTTATTAAATTTTATGCTTAAGAGTACATTGACATACATAATACATTAAATAACAATTTCACTTGTCTAGCTTGCACGGTAGAAAAGCATATAAAAAATTGACAATCAGTCATGTCATTATGTACAAAATAATAAAGTTATTCTTAAAATAACATATAAAACATGCTTGTTCGTTACATGTATGTATACGAAACACTGGATCTAGCATCCAGCACTTTACTGACACGACAATAAGGAAGTTTCTCTTCTCTATTACAATATTACCCTTATTTTAAAATTAGTTACTGATATCAAACATTTCACATGGAATTTGGCCAAGGTATAGTCATAGAAACACCGCTATTGTTACAGTCAAACTATTTAGTCTACAGGTAGAAAATAAGACTGATTCAGTACTAACACGTTACTTACATAATATAGTTTTTAACTAAACCATATATTTGGGAACAAACCAATGGTCAGTGTATACTAAATCGTTCTGTATAGTCCTTCGGGGTTATTATAACGTCCTAAAGTCAGAATGGTTCCATTGAGGGAAAGAAACAGAGCTATACAAGTCGTCTAGCAAGATCTCGTTTCCTCAGCGGAACCACTGGCATCGAGACGTCATAATACGCCACCTGAGGCCTTAGTACCCGTTTGATTTACATACGTTCGGCACTCTGACTGGCCGGCACCAATGAAGCAACCAATCACAGCGCCGAACGCGTACTCGTTACGATTACTTTAAACGTAAAACAAATTCGTACTAAGGCGTGTGTATAGTACTAAGTGGTGTGGTTACAATGTGGCGGCGGCCAGTAGCCGGCAGTGGTCGGGCAGGGCGCGGAGGCCGGCGGGCGCGGCGACCCGGGCGTTGGCCGCGCTCACAATGTGGCGGCGGCCAGTAGCCGGCAGTGGTCGGGCAGGGCGCGGAGGCCGGCGGGCGCGGCGACCCGGGCGTTGGCCGCGCTCACAATGTGGCGGCGGCCAGTAGCCGGCAGTGGTCGGGCAGGGCGCGGAGGCCGGCGGGCGCGGCGACCCGGGCGTTGGCCGCGCTCACAATGTGGCGGCGGCCAGTAGCCGGCAGTGGTCGGGCAGGGCGCGGAGGCCGGCGGGCGCGGCGACCCGGGCGTTGGCCGCGCTCACAATGTGGCGGCGGCCAGTAGCCGGCAGTGGTCGGGCAGGGCGCGGAGGCCGGCGGGCGCGGCGACCCGGGCGTTGGCCGCGCTCACAATGTGGCGGCGGCCAGTAGCCGGCAGTGGTCGGGCAGGGCGCGGAGGCCGGCGGGCGCGGCGACCCGGGCGTTGGCCGCGCTCACAATGTGGCGGCGGCCAGTAGCCGGCAGTGGTCGGGCAGGGCGCGGAGGCCGGCGGGCGCGGCGACCCGGGCGTTGGCCGCGCTCACAATGTGGCGGCGGCCAGTAGCCGGCAGTGGTCGGGCAGGGCGCGGAGGCCGGCGGGCGCGGCGACCCGGGCGTTGGCCGCGCTCACAATGTGGCGGCGGCCAGTAGCCGGCAGTGGTCGGGCAGGGCGCGGAGGCCGGCGGGCGCGGCGACCCGGGCGTTGGCCGCGCTCACAATGTGGCGGCGGCCAGTAGCCGGCAGTGGTCGGGCAGGGCGCGGAGGCCGGCGGGCGCGGCGACCCGGGCGTTGGCCGCGCTGACGGCGCCGTTGACGTGAGCGTTGTGCAGCTCGGCCACCTGCGTGGAGCACGCCGCCGCGGGGTCGCCCGACCCCGTCACACTGCCTAGCCTGTTACAATTACGTATACATCCATTACTATAAAACACAAACGTAAAAAGAAATAAAAACAGTTTATTTACGACATATACAAAAATACATAACATAACTCAGTAGGCAGAGGTGCACATTACATCACTTAATGCCACTGTACAATGTAACATCCACTTTTCGCAATTTTATGTTATGAGTCCCATATAATAGGGGGTGAGCCTATTGCCATATTATACTGAGCACAATTCCAGACTCCGTCGTTACTCGAGAATCGATCAACCGAATCCGAGACACCTTAGTAATCGCTTTTGCGACGTCAAAAAATTGTTCGTGCGGGAATCGAACCCACTACTCGTCACACGGCAGCCACTGCGGCAACCATGCAATCGCCCTAATCATACAGACAGATATGAAAGTATTGGTATACCCACGACACAGCAGAAAATAGCAATATGATAATTTTAAGTTGAAATGAAAGTATACAGACCAGAATTCGTTCCCGGGATGTGCGTTCCCGTCCCACGGATACGTCAACACTAACAACTTGCCCGCGTCCTCGCCGACCAACTTGGACGACGGCTCGCGTGTCTTTATCGTCACGTTGATGCCGCCTGCGACGTAAACAAATTATTATATAAGAAGGGGTAGGCAGAGGTGCATATTACGACACTTGGTGCCACTGTACAATGCAACACCCACCTTTCATTACTTATTTTATGAGTCCCATGTAATAGGGGGTGAGCCTATTGCCATATACCGGGCACAATTCCAGACTCCGTGCTACTACTGAGATTGTTTTTAACTCGTCGAGTACCGGTTTTATAGACACAATTAAAGAACAATAGGTCGCGGTCACCGGTGACCGCTTGGTGTTTGACAGATTAAAAACCCAGTAATACTTTGCCCGACCCGGGAATCGAACTTGCGACCCGGCAGTAGCACTTGCAACCACTTGGCCAACGAGACATTTTACACTTCATGTACGTATTATACTAGCGACGAGCCCCAGCTTCGCCCATTTGCTATTTTCATGTCCTCGTTGATTCTATTCTATAATTTTTCTTTCATACAAACATTGGCCTAACGATAAAAAATATTTAATAATTCTTTTATAAGATACGTTTAAAAAAACCGACGGCAACCACAACCTGAAAATCGCATCAAAATAGGTTCAGCCAATCGCGAGATAATCACGCACAAACATACATTCAAGTCAAACTTAGAACCTTCTTTTGTTTTTTGAAGTCGGTTGAAAATTTTATCTACTTTGGTTGAGGAATTCAGGAGTTAAGCGCTAACAGAAAATAAACATAACTAACCCCTCGCGTGTTTCTCGTACACACGCGCACCGATTGGATATTTTTTCTGTGACGTGTATTTTCAAGTTAGCAATCCGTTCTTTACTTGATTAAACATAATAGTTAATTCGCTTTTCTATTAACCCCTTGAAAATTGTTAAAAATCATCCCCTAAATTTGTTCATACAAAAGTAGTCTCTATACCTTGGAAATAAGGTCTTTTTTTTAAGGGGGAAAATCATCGAATGACTGCTCCCGCCTGGGTGAGGCAGAAGGGAGTGTCAGACTCTTACTGACTAAAAACCACCCCGTTCCTTCTCCTGCACGTCGAGCCGGAGCCCCGGTTACCCGTTAGGTCCTCAGCGACGGAAATAAGGTCTATAATATAGTTAGTGGAGTCACCGGTCACCGCCTGGGGATATATGGGTTAAAAAATATTTACCCGTGTGTACGAAAACGCACGTTCTTTCGCTTTTTGTCAATTAAGTTGCGAGTCATAATTGAAAGGCCTATTGCCATACTCTGGCATATAAAAGTAATTTTACCAATGTGGCTAAAATATTTGTATTGAGGCGAGGTTGTGGCGACACATGTCACATGTCGAATGACACTCCACATAGACCATCGATGATAACAAATCAACGGATGACGTCATAAAAATCCTACATCGCACATGCGAAGTTTACATGCGAATTAATACGAATAGAAAATCCCAACGAATAACTGTTAGGCAGAAAGTCGAATACGAAAGGCCACGAATACCTCGCCTGGTCGGAGGATCCTCCTTGTTCGATCTTAGGGAATATACTCTCTGTTCCCTCAAAGTTAAATCATTCACTCACCTTTTGGATGTTTCTTGTTCTCGAAGAAGGTTTTATACTCAGCCGTCTTACCCGAACCCGTGGTTGAGAACATCGCTGTGGAAATAACAAATACATTAATTATTAATGTTGAAAAAAATTTATCAAATTCAAATTCCAGGGTAAGTAAAGAAAATTGTAGAATATTTTTATCTCTTTTTTTATTTAAGAACTTTGCTTTTCACTAGTATTTCTCCTGTGTCGTGGGTGCGTTTACAAACATACAGGTTCACATACACATCACACCCAGACCCGAAACAACAATCAGTGGATCACGCAGAGTTGCTCCGTACGGGAATCGAATCCGCGACACGTTGTACAGCAGCCAGTAGCCGAGCCACCACACGGCAGAATTACTAGCAAAGGTTTTTTAAAGAAAAAAATAACAGTATAATGTCGGAATACTTAAACGCTACTCAATTTTAAGTCACGCTCAAGTATAGTTTTGTTTCCACAAATTCTTTGTAAAATGACAGAGATGGCACGTTATTTAAGCATGACTTAAAATTGAGTAACGTTTCAGTATTGACTGCACGGTTGGTGCGGTGCCTGGGCAACCGGCTGCCGTGCCACGTGTCGCGGGTTCGATTCCCGCACGGAACAACACTTTGTGTGATCCACAAATTGTTGTTCCGGGTCTGGGTGTCATGTGTATGTGAACTTGTATGTTTGTAAACGCACCCACGACACAGGAGAAAATCCTAGTGTGGGGCAACGTTTTTTTTTTAAAAGAAAGAAAAGAAAGAATGAAAGTATTCCGGCATAAGTATATAGTACCGAGTATAGTGTCGCTGGGCGTGATGTACGCGAAGTTGATGTCGGCGACGTGCGCGAGGCCGGCGGCGGCCAGCAGGTGGCGCAGCCGGGCCAGCACCGACACCACGTACACGTCCACCTGGTGCTTCGAGATCTTCCACACGCCTAGACCTGGGACACACGCAATGACATTCATCATAGTCTTCTTTGTTTGCGACAAACGAGCTGGGTAAGTAACTACTACTATGGATACCCACAACACCAGAGCCGTTATAAGGACATTTTCCGTGCAACTACAGAAATGTTTTTTTTTTTAATCTAGTAAGTAATATCAACGGCAAGTACCAATGTGACTTTTTCCGAGTTATATGTACTTTCTAAGATTATTTAGACACCACTGACAAACGGTGAAGGAAAAACATTGTGGGGAAACCTGGACTTATAATTTCTAATTATAAGTTTGAAATCGCCAACCCGCATTGAGCAAGCGTGGTGATTAATGCTCAAACCGTGTGAGAAGAGACTTTGCTCAGCAGTGGGCATTTATAGACTGTTGATGATGAAGTAATACTTTGTCCCGACCCGGGAATCGAACCCGAAACCCTTTGCCCCGCAGTCGACTTGTGACCACTCTGCCAACGAAGCAGGTTGTACACTAAATGAATAAGAAAAAAATTGTTTGTAAATTAAACTAGCATCTGCCCGCGACTTCGTACGCGTACCATCCCATTTTTTCCCGTTCCCGTTCGTGATTTTCGGAAAAAAGTAAAAAAAAAAATTTGGTTAAAAAGTATTCTATGTCGGTCTCCTGGCTCTAAGCTACCTCCCTACCAATTTTCAGCCAAATCTATTCTGCCGTTCTTGAGTTATAAGTGGTGTAACTAACACGACTTTCTTTTATATATATAGATAGGATCCCAGATCTTTGGCCATCCAACTCACAGAGACTCGTTGAGACACCTTCACTCTACTCTGAATGAAATATGATCATAATGTCAATACCAACCACAACCAATAACATTGACATAGGCCATTTTATTCTCCAACTTCGCTCGGTGATCAGCTTCAATGAGTACCGTGTCAGCGATGACAGAGAGTCGCTTGTAGTACACTTCATTGTCGAATATATGGTTCGGTCGCGACAACTTCACGTAGCGGTCTGTGTACTTCTTCTGAGCGTCCTTTGTGTTGGTCACACTTATATATCCTGTTAGTTCCTCGTATGTGTAGCTGTGTACCTGTAACGGTGAAGGAAATTAGTTATTTATTTGCCGTCAGCATTTAAAAGACGGATAGTAGGATAGTCCCGGGACTTTAGTAAAGTAATTCCCGTTCCTAGGGTTTTACTCGCATAGTTCTTGCTCTTGCAAGGGGTCTCGCCCGCTTGCCCATTTGTAACTGGGTTTTTAAAAATTCTCAGTAGTAGCACGGAGGCTGGAATTGTGCCCGATATATAGCAATAGGCTCTATTACATGGGTCTCATAAAAAAAAATAGTGAAAAGTAGGTGTTACATTGTACAGTGACATTTAGTGCCGTAATGTGCACCTCTGCCTACCCCTCCAGGGATAAAAGTCGTGATGTTAAGTACGTTCTTGCTTGCGTGGGCTTTGCAAAATAAAATTGTCCTACGTCTTTTCTTGAAGCTCACAGTTTTGGTTGAAATTTGGTAATTTCACACAAATAGCCTCAGTGGTTTAGAAGCTAGAGAGCCCCGGGTGTATTTTACCGACACACATAGTTGCCGTTCGAGTAAAATTCCGAGGATAGAAACTATTCCATGTTCTTTCTCGAATTTCCGACATTTTGTAGCTAATTTCATCGAGATCCGTTCTAACTAGAATAATAAAACACGTTCATAAAAACTTTCGCATTTATAACTGTAGAAATGAAACGACCGTAGATGGTAACGAACTGTCAAATTTTTATTTTCTGCATAGATTAAACACAATATAGTTCCCAAAGCCTCTACTAGATGGCACCACATTTATATTTATTTTGTTAGAATACGACACTCCCACTTAACAAAATAAAACTAAATACCTATCTAGTGTTTTATTTGACTAAACCTAACATCTCTAAAAATTTATAATGTTTTACCGCATTTAAACCTTTGGTAAATAAATCAGCAGGCATTTCTGAAGTTGGTAAATAACTCAATCTAATAATATTATTATTTAAATGTTCTCTAAAAAAGTGAAATCTGATATCAATGTGTTTTGATCTTTTATGCAAACAATTATCATTTGCCAACTTCTGTGCAGACTGATTATCATTGAATACAGTTACTATATACAATTTGTTAGTTATCTCATATTGCAAGTTCCGTAAGTATATGGCCTCTTTACAACAATCTGATATTCCCATGTACTCAGCCTCGGTGCTAGACAGAGCTATAGTGATTTGTTTCCTAGTTGCCCATGAAACAGCACCACCAGAAAGAGAAAAGAAAAACCCTGTATATGAACGCCTATCCAATACATTACTTGCCCAGTCAGCATCAACATATGCTTGCAATTCTGAATTTCCATTGGCACTATATTTCAGACAATATTCTTTAGTTGTTTTCAAATATTTTAAGACCCTTTTGGCACAAGCCCAATGCTCATCACTGTAACAATTATTAAATTGACTTAAATAATTAACAGAAAAAACAATGTCTGGTCTAGTAAGTACTGCTAAATACATCATAGAACCTATTAACTGTTGGTAAGGTAATTGAGTATTACAATATTCACTTTTACTTAAATTTAACTTAGATTCTATTGGTGTGTAAACTGCCTTACAACTTTGAATATTAAATTTTTGTGATAGTTTTTCAATGTATTGTTGTTGATCCAAAGTTACTGTACCACTTACTTTATCAACATCAACTCTCATACCTAAGCAATGCTTAACACTACCCAAATCTTTAATTTTAAAGACAGATGATAAACTACTCTTAATTTTTTCAGTTTCTAACAAATTATTAGAAAAAATGAAGAAATCATCAACAAACAGTGCAATGAATATTTTGTCTGACACATTAATTTTGCTATAAAGACAAGGTTCGAGTTGAGACCGTTTGAATCCTATGGTCTCTAAAAAACTATCTACTCTCTGATACCAGGCTCTACTTGATTGCTTCAAACCATAAATAGCCTTCTTAAGCTTAAGCACCTTGTTGTTATTTTGCTTACATTCAAAACCTACTGGCATTTTCATATAAACTGTTTCTTTCAAGAATCCATTTAAAAAAGCAGTTTTAACATCAAGGTGGCATATATCAAGTTTCATCTGAGCTGCTAATGCAAAAAGTAATCTTAAAGATGAATGTCTCAACACAGGGGAAAAAGTTTCATTAAAATCTATACCTGGTTTTTGTACAAATCCTTTTGCAACTAACCTAGCACGATATGTTACATTATTGTCAATGTCTAACTTACGTTTGAACACCCATTTACAAGGCAACTGTACTGTTCACAGGTAAGTCCACTAATTCCCAGGCATTATTTTCTTCGAAAGATTTTAATTCATCGTTCATTGCTAATGTCCATTGTTCACTCTCTGGCCCGCTTAGAGCCTCCAGAAGTGATATTTCATTACAGTCCACATTACACGCACTGGCACTGGCAAAACCATACCGTTCAGGTTGTTTACGAACACGACACTTCCTAACCTCATTTTCCACAACTGTTGATGGACCTGGAGTAACTAACTGCTGCTCTGACACTGCTGCAGATGCTGTAGTTTCTTCCACATCAAGAAATTCTTCGTCTGTTTCTTTATCTGAGCTGGTGCTGCTTGAATTCTCGCTTACTGCACCCTTTACTGCACCTGGCCTGAATTTCAGTTTGAGGTTCGTCTCTGAAATGTCTACATTTGCCTCTCCCACTGTTTGCTGAATCTCTTCAGGTATCTCAGTTTTTACTGCAAACTCGTGGTTTGGTTCGGTCAAGTCCACTGGTATCTCGGTTACAGAACTCCCTTCCTCAATCACGACAATATCTCGACTGGTAGTTATTGTGTTATTGTTGGGATTGTACACTCTGTAACCTTTTACGTCATTTGGATAACCAATCAAAATGCATTGTTTGGCTTTTTTATCCCACTTGAGCCTTCTCTCCTTTGGTATATGTACCATTACTCTACTGCCAAATATGCGTAAATGGCTAACGTCTGGTTTCTCACCTGTCCACACTTCAATTGGTGTTTGGTTGTTTAATCCTGATGCTATTGATCGATTTTTCAAGTAGGCTGCTGTGTTTACCGCTTCTGCCCAAAATCTTTTGGTTAATCCTGCATCAAACAACAGGCATTTTGCCTTCTCAACCACTGTGCGGTTGAATCTCTCGCACATTCCGTTCTGCTGTGGAGTATATGGGTTAGTTTTTTGGTGTAATATTCCTGCTTCTTGTAGATATCTATCAAACTGCTTATTACAAAATTCTAACCCATTATCTGTCCTTAGAATTTTGATTCTCTTCTCTGTCTGATTCTCAGCCATACTCTTAAATGCTTTGAATTTGTCTAATGCTTCATCCTTAGTCTTAAGAAAATAGACAAATACCATTCTGCTTTTGTCATCCACGAATAGCAAAAAATATTTTGATCCTCCAATGGACTTGGTTTCCATGGGGCCACAAATGTCTGCATGCACCGTGTGAAGCAATTCTTCACTTCTGTTACCAACATGTGAGAAGGGTAACCGTGCCTGCTTGCCTTCGCAGCACACAACGCAGCTCATATGGTTCACCTGGGACTTGTCTGTATATGTCATGCCAATAACTGCACCGTCTCTCATTTTGTCTAGATCGGCGCTATTCAGGTGCGCAAAACGGCGATGCCACACATGCCCCGACACTGGTGTAAACAGACAATTAACTTGTTTCACATTTAATTTGTAAACACCGTCCACCAAATCTGCAGTTGCAATCAGTTCGTTCCTGTCGTTATAAATCATACAGTGGTTCTCAGTGAAGTTAACTCGATTTCCCTTATTAATCAGCTGGCTAACTGATAACAAGTTTGTAGCAAGACTAGGCACGTACAATACTTCTGTGACTGATATGTCATATTGTTTACCTTTCACTGTTGTTATTATTTGGGTTTCACCACAACAATCCACAGAAATTGTCGACTTATCAGCAATAACTATCTCGTCTACAAGTTTGTTTTGACAGATTCTTCAGCCAATCTTTTTTAGTCGTCATATGCCTGCTGGCACCGGAATCAATGTACCAGTCTGTAGTACTGAATTTACCACTTAGAAAAGTAGCATTAAATGCATTAGTTGTTTTTTTCTTTTCTATTTTATTACACTGATTCTTGTAATGCCCTTGCTTCTTACATTTGTAACATCTTACATTCGATTTTAACGTTTCGGTCGTATTGACATTTGCCGTATTTCGTTCACTCTTTTGGGGTTGCCATTTTTTAGACATAAATGCACTCTGACTGTTCGCACTAACTTCACTTGAGTCCTCCATGTCTATGAGCTTCGATTTGATTGCGTCGGTCGTTATGTCTATGCCCGAATGCTCGATCGCCATGATCATCGGGGCGAATTTCTCAGGCAATCCCGCCAAAAGTAGCGATCCAACCCACTCTTCACTTATTTTGAAGCCCGTATTATTTAATCGCTGACTTGTTTCCACTATTGATGTCACGTAATGAGCCATCGAATCACAATTTTCACGCCGGATTGATATCAAGTTCCGCAGTAATCCTATTCTTCTTGTGAATCCAGTATCGTCAAACATTCTTTGCAGCTTTTTCCACAGACCCAAAGCGGTTTCTTCACTTTTAATATGCACAAAAAGTCCTGGTTCTATAGTAAGGATGATTTTTGCACGTGCTTTTGCATCATTTGCCTCGCCATTTGTAACGATGCACTTCTCCATGCCTTCTAAAATCAAATAGTTTTGAACCGCAAACGCCCATTCTTCATAATTATCGCGTCCTTTTAACTTTGTGATGCTTGTAATTATACTTCCGGACATTTCACTGAGTAACACAATGTTTCTTTTGTTTTAAAAACGTGAGGCCCATAACCTGTAGAAATGAAACGACCGTAGATGGTAACGAACTGTCAAATTTTTATTTTCTGCATAGATTAAACACAATATAGTTCCCAAAGCCTCTACTAGATGGCACCACATTTATATTTATTTTGTTAGAATACGACAATAACCAACTTATTAAAGTCGAAAATTCACTGAAACTAATGGACAATTGGCCACCATCTTAAATATCGTACCTGGTAGAACTCAGCCCACATCTGTCTCCACATATGTCTGCCGGACGCGTTGTTCCTGACGTACGTGTTCTTCAACACGTTGAGGCACGTGGTGGGAGTGACCTCCTCCCCGTACCCTTGCTCCGGCACGTTCTGCTCCGCCGTCACTAGGATGTCCTCGCAGTCCATTCGGAACTCGCGCTGGAAGCGAGGACCTATTGTACCTGAAACATAAACAGTCATTATGAAGTACTGATGAATTATTACAATGTAACATTCACTATTCATGAATTATGTTATGAGTACATATGAGACCTACTTCCCCGCGGTTTTACCCGTTCTGCTCGGCGCCCAAAAAAATTGCTACTCCGCAAATTAACAAGAAAAAATTAAGACTAGCAGTTAAGCTGAGAATATTAAACCATATCAAATCAGGCACGGCCCCGCACATTTGAACTACTGGGTTTAGTTTTTTATGAGATAAGCCGGTAAACGAGCAGTTAAACGGTTAACCTGATGGTAAGCAATCGGCGTCGCCCATGCCTTCTCCCGCCTGGCTGAGGCGGGAGGGAGTGTCAGACTCTTACTGACTAAAAACCACCCCGTTCCTTCTCCTGCACTTCGAGCCGGAGCCCCGGCAACCCGTTAGGTTCTCCGCGACATGGTAATTGGGCCTCTGGTAACCTGACTCACACTACGCAACACAACGCAAGCGTTGATTCACGTCGGTTTGCGGTAAGGCCGTGATATCACTCCGGTCGAGCCGCCTCATTCGTGGTGAAACATGGCTCTCCCACACTTGTTTAACATAATAACATAACATCACGCCTTTTATCCCCGAAGGGGAAGGCAGAGGTGCACATTATACCACTGTACAATGTAACACCTACTTTTCACTATTTATGTTATGAGTCCCATGTAATAGGGGGTGAGCCTATTGCCATATACCGGGCACATTTCCAGACTCCGTGCTACTACTGAAATTTTTAAAAACCCAGTAATACTTTGCCCGACCCGGGAATCGAACCCGAGACCTCTTGACCAGCAGTCGCACTTGCGCCCACTCGGCCAACGAGGCAGTCACTTAAATTACTTGTTTAACCCAAGTAATTTAAGGAAAAAGGTAGGAAACTCTCAAGACTTACCTATAATAACAGCCTCAGTCTCAATATTATCTTCTCTAACAACGCCGGAGTTGCGTCGCTCCCCCGCGTTGATACACTCGGTGTGTCCACTGACGTACACCAGAGCCGACACCTTCATCTCGTCGTAACTCAGACAGTTCTCCAACAGTAGGGGAGCCTTCTGGTTCATTGTGCCTACACTCTCCCAGCCGTCCGAACTGAAATATAATATTGTCAAAGTTAAAGAATGTACGTGAATTAAGCCATTGTTCCTATAAGTGCCTTCAACTGTCAGATGTTACATTGTTTGAGGGGTTAATCTGAAGGCTACTTATTAAGAGGTAATGACACAAAGGAGTTTCAATAATTTTAAAATTTGTTTGGCGTGAATGAACAATCTACAAATAGAGTCGTAGATAAAAACTGTTAAAACAAAGATTTCCCTTCTTTATAATGCATGCAGTTGTGTAATTCGTTGTATAATTAATTTTATTGATTACATGCAATGTATATAAAAAGCATGTTGGAGAATTTTATTAATCATGCAACAATCTTTTTGCAATATATTTTCAACTGTACACTTTTGTTACAAAGTTGAAAATTGCTCGATGTGCTCCACAATCAGTTTACGAATATTCTTCACAATGAAAAGAAATCTCGTCTGCCTCTCTTTCTAATGTTAGTATTTAGTAAAGGATAGAGATAGATTCCTCACCTACGCAATAGACTGGAGCGTATATTTTTAAGTTCTTTCGGCGACAACCCGTCCAATAACGATCTGCACACACGTACACACACATAGCTACACCAACACAACACACGCACACCACCACATTATACACAACACACACATACAATTAAAATAATCATGCATGTTATACAAATATCAACTTTATACATGAAGTTAGAGGTTGAAATTTGCATCTTTGTGAAATTATTATATTAAGAATATATATTTTAAACGAAAATGAGACCTAAAGCATTTAACACAGAGATAATATTTGATAACGATCTCGTTTGAATGTTCTTAAAATAGGACAGAAAGCTAAAACGAACCATACTGCTATTCTTTTAAGGTGGTATGTCGTGTGTTGTCGTTTTATTTACCCTTTCTCTCCGGACAGTAACAGGTAAGAGTCGGCGGCTCCCATAAAGTTGACGGCTCTCTTCTTGAGCAGTCTGTCTATAAACTGTACCACGCTCATATCCTTGTACAACTCCTTCTCTATACTACTGCCGTACTCTCTGGAACATTTATACTTTAGTTAGAGAATAGGAAATTGGTAGGAACTTTGGTGCAATATGGAAATTGATTGCTACGTTCAATGTGGTTTAGACACATGCTAACTGAACCAAGTTTCGTAGATAGACCATAGTGTAATCAATTAATTTAATAAAATATAGCAAACAGTTTAAATATACAGCATTCCTGATGGCTGATGGCCTGAAACACAAGTTTACAATAACCTAGATCGGGTGGTCCACTGTCAAATAATGAAATTTTCCGAATCACTGTCAATATACCTTTATTGATATTTTAATTTTGGTAACTATATTCTTAAGCACTGTATTGTATCTTTATTGCAATAGAAAACTACTAAACATGCTTGTAGGAGAGCCATGCTTCGGCATGAATGGGCCGGCTCGACCGGAGTGATACCACGGTCCCACAGAAAACCAACGCTTGCGTTGTGTTTCGTCGTGTGAGTGAGGTTACCGGAGGCCCAATTACCCTCCCCTTCCCCAATGTCTCCAATTCCTGAATCCCCAACGATCCTCAAACTCCTAAGGCCAGTAACGCACTTGTAACGCCTCTGGTGTTCCAGGTGTCCAAGGGCGACGCCGATTGCTTACCATCAGGTGACCCGTCCGCTCGTTTACCAGCTTATGACAAAAAAAACCCTGCTACTGTTGGTTTAATGTTCATTTTTGTACATGTTTATTTCAATAAATTATTCTAAATTCCAGAGTATGACTTCGCTGGCTAGTGTAGATACACATTCCAACTTCCAAACCTTCAAGAAAAGAGCGTCCATTTTATCAAAGGCCGCACTCCTGCTTTAAGTCCGGCAAGAAACACTGGTCAGTCTTGTGGTGTTCTGAGTGTCCACGAGCGGCGCTGATCGCTTACCATCAGGTGATCCATCTGCTCGTTTGTACCGATAAAAATATATACGTGACTCATCTCACCTTTTGTATATGAGGAAGTGTGTAATGAGAAGTAGTACTCGTTCATGTAGGAGTGGGTACGTGGAGACAATATTCTTCTTCAGTTTATCTATAGATCGCCGCGCTTTGAGCTTTTCTAATCTGCAAGTGACGTCAAAATTATCATAGGTATACACAATAACACACATCTACAGATCATTCTCATGTGTGGAAAGACAGTACCCCTTTTTTGAGGCGGGAAGCACACCCAATGACTTCGCCCGCCCGGGTGAGGCGAGAGGGAGTGTCAGACACCTACTGACTAAAACCACCCCGTTCCTACTCCTGCACTTCGAGCCGGAGTCCCGGCAACCCGTTAAGTCCTCCGCGGCTCCGTATAAAATTAGTCCCCCTACATTCGGATCTTCCTTTGGGGACAATGGTAATAGTTATTTAAAGAATTAACTTAAATATGTACAAGGTATTTCCACGATACATGAAACTTTGTTATGTAATTTGTCGAATCCACCAAAAAAATTATAATATCTTAAACTGGGGTAACGTTTACAAAATATAGTTTGCTAGCACTTACCTGACGGTCTGAATGGGGAACGGTATGGGGAAGGCTTTACTCTTGTTGATGAGTTCCTCAATATCATCGGACAGCTGCACAGGAGGCAGGTCCGCGCACTGTCGCAGCAACTCGTTGGTCTCCTTGCTCATACTAGGGTAGCACCAGTCTGGCTTGCACCTGCATAGTTCACCAGATTATATTTAAACTATTGTTTGTTGTTAACTAACCTGCTGGACAGATTTCGATGTAAACAATTGTTGATGGTTTTATCATATCATTAAGCGACATTAAAATTCTCCGACAGAGGTAAATATTTTGAAGTTTAAAGAATTTTATTGCAAGGAATCCATATTATTAAAGTTAAAAATCTGTGCTAAAGTTGTCCATTTTAACTTACAGTTCAAATAGTAGATAACTTCAAATATTTGAATTAATTTTGATTAAATGGTACTCAATGGGAAATAATTAGATATTCTCTAGTCATACATTGTACTGCCCAGTCCTCATGCAGTCACCGGTGACTGCTCCACTCACACCATTATAGACCTTATTTCCGATATTTAGAGACTACGTTGTATGAATAAATGTGAATTTTTCATAATCGAGGATTAAAAAAAGCAGAGTAAACTTGTTGTTATTTGTCACTAGCTTCCGCCCGCGATTTCGTACGCGCAATCTCGTTATTACCGTGCCCGTTCCTGAAAAGGCAGTTAAAAGTATCCTATGACCATCTCCTGGTTCTATGCTACCTCCCTACCAATTTTCATCTAAATCGATTTAGCGGTTCTTGAGTTATAAATAGTGTAACTAACACGACTTTCTTTTATATATATAGATTACATTGTTGTAACCGCTTCACTATATTCATACAACGATTGTGTCTATCTGAATGTTACAACGATGTTACACCATAGTTAACTAGGTGGCATCAAGGTAGATATAGCAGTGACTCACACTGATTGACTAACTGCTTGCAACGGTCTATCAATAAATCAAATATAACCGATAGTAATCTCACTAAGGAGAACCGTACGTGATATTCCAAATGATGAAATATGCCGATATTAATTGGGCTTCCGGGTACATAACTTACATTTCATTTCATTTCATTTATTTATTCATTTAACAATTTACATTGTGTCTGAAATTTAATATAGGTACTAAAATACACACACACACACACACACTAAATTGGAGTGTCTGTTTGTAATATTGAAATAGACATTCAATACACATAACAAAAAAACATATTTTAATTTTTTTCTGACTGTCTGTTTGTACTGGCTATTCTCTGAAATGGCTGGACCGATTTTGACTGAATTATTGTCAGGTAGCTGATGTACTAAGGAGTAACATAGGCTATTTCTATTTTAGATAATTGAAACAAAAATAATGGTATGTCCTAAAACTCATATTCTACGCGGACAAAGTCACGGACAATAGCTAGTCTATTATAATTTCGTTCCTTTGATGTTATAAGGAAAAATTGTATTGTAATAAATAATTTTTGTAAACCAGTTGTTTGGGTTCATAAGGTGCAATAACTGTTTCGAGAATAACTGTTAACACAACTATGTAACAAAAATAATGTGCTATGGGAAAATTCTTAGGCAATATGACTTTAAAGACAATAGGAGGCCTTTCTATGGGCATTCTGGGGTATAACAGTTATCTTCAATGAAACCTACATTAACCCTTTGAGTCCCGTCATTATAGACACAATTAAAGAACAATAGGTTGCGGTCGCCGGTGACCGTGCGGTGTTTGACAGTTTAAATATGTCACCTATTATTTAAGGCTCTAGACAGACGGACCGCATTTCAACTGCAATCCAACCGCAAATTGCAGTTCAGATGCAGAAAATATGGAATGATTGGTTAGAGTCCTAACTATAACTCAGTCCATATTTTGTTTTTCATATCGGTTACAGTTTAATTATCTGAAGATGGGTCCTGAGTTTGGGAATTTGAGTGGAAGGGACGCGTGCCTTTCACTTTTTATGTCTGTCTCTCTCGCTCTTAGGCGGGCTAACCATGTCCGAGTGGAAGGGACGCGTGCCTCTCACTCGCTCTCATTGTGAGCGCATAATGTGAGCGGAGCGTAACGCAGTTTCTTGAAGTGTCACCCGGCAAACCAATTTATAAGATGTTGTCACATCAATAATGGTTCAAACTCTATCTATCTTTATTATCAAATATTATCATTTAATTGATATAAACTGAAAGTAAACTATAGTTATTATCAATGTTATCAATTTTATCATAACAACTTGTTCATTTAACTTGAGTTTTGTTCATGACATTATTATTTATCTTGCTTCTATATTTTATTTAACAAAACCAAAAATATAGTAGCAAGTATTTGTTTATTTATGTCACTTACCAGGCATAGCTCTGGAAGCTCCTTGTAATGTCCATCTTTTGACGTTTTGCCTGAAATAATAATATACCAAAACTTTTAACTAATGGACTTTAAGTTTGAAGTTTTTTTGGGGATTCATCATTTACCTATCATGTAAAGTTGCACAATTAAGTCAATATGCACATGTGAAATAAATATTTACATTATGCAATTGTTATATTCATTGACCATTGACCTCAGTACTTACCAACATTTTGTTTTATTTTTAATTTCCAATAATGTAGGTAATTGGAAAAATAAAAAGTTTATTAGTTTTCAATGTAAAAAGTGTAATTATTTAATAGTGAAGGTTTATAATGTTGTAAAGTATCGATAGAGTTACTATTTGGACCAGAGTATTAATTTTAATTTTTTTAATTACTACTTGGTTTCGCACGCAGTTGTACTGTACGCTGATTGAAAATTGTACTCACACAGGCCTGACAGGATCGATTTATAACAACATGTACAGACAAGTTCAAGCTTGCAGGGACCTTATAAACACTACTGATACGCCTCGAGTGGTTCAGTTTTGTTAAATTGCGGTGAATCACCAAAGCCGACCGACACAGACATTCCACGAACATTTGTTTTGACATTTACACACTAACATATCTGATATGATGTATGTATACATAGATAAACAAACACACATATACATATAAATATGAGTTTTCGTCTATGGTCTCACGTTTTGTTTTCTCTTGTGGAGAAAACATGTAGACATTATAATATTGTCTCTAAACATTGGGCCATCGCATAGAGCCAGCACGTAGGGGCCTAGTTAGCATAACATTGGTCGACCAACTGAATGTTGTCGGTTTTTCGTGCGCTAATTAAAGGATCTTGGCGCGCTCCACAAACGGCGTTCAGCCAGTTCAGTTTATTGTCATTCATCAGTAAAGATGTTCGAAATTACATTACGTGGACAAACACTGATAATTTATAATATTTTATTGAAATATACAGAAAATACATTTTCAATTTACTATAATATATTGACCCAATACGTCATCCCAATGTGTAAACATGGATATTTACAATTCAATAAATTGACCTAATGCGTTGGCCCATACGTTGTCCCAATGCTGTCCAATTTGTTGAGCCGCCTTTAATTTGCAAAGATAATAACTTACACCTACTACTTACCCGAGCGTACGGCGACCCGAGCGTACGGCGCGTCGCGTACCGCGCGCGCCTCAAAGAGCCATCAGACCACCACAGATGGGGCCCAATAGGGCCGAAGCCGATTCGGAGTCGCGGAGAACCTAACGGGTAACCGGGGCTCCGGCTCGACCATGGGATTCATAATATAAATAACGATAAGTGGGTCTTACTTACATCGTACACTGTCATTAAGGGCCGTAATGTGCACCTCTGCCTACCCCTTCGGGGACAAAAGACGTAATGTTATGTCTATTTAAATTGAGCTACGAAATGAAAAGTTATCGCTGTTTTACATACATTTTGTCAATCATTAAAGCAAGCCAAACGCAGTTTATGCAATAATAAAACGTGTTGTAGTTAAGCGTTTACAAAGTACGCTTAATTTCAAACATCATTCGTTTTTATCTTAAAAATCAACATATTATCATTATGTTTATCTAAATATACGAAAACAGGAACGAAAACTATTTAATATCAATAACAGAAGTGTATCAATTTGTTTTCTTAAAATGAAAACAAAACATAAATAGAACATACAATAATTAACATTCCTTGTAAATAAAACCGTGATGTTTTGCATTGCTAAAATGTCATTTTTGATTATTGTCAAGCAAGTCTTTAAAATTATATATGCTCTGTGGTCAAGTCAAGTCAATGTTTGTTGACATAAAATTTGGCGCGATTTACTTATTTATATTTATTTTATTGACGAAACCTTGGAAAGTTCTACTTTATTTAAGTTTATTTACTAGAATTTTGATAATAGCAAACAATCTGATATGGGCGAGGTACAACAATTGCGTACAGAAATCACTTCAACGTTTAAACTGAATGGTTTTACCTTACGTCGGGATGCAGGAACATTTCTGGCTGAAGAGCTCCTACTGTTGCCACCCTCAGAACGTGACACAATCCTCGAGAAGCTGTCAGCCCATTTACTTCATCAGTGTGTAACCCAGCCTATATTAGAGAAGGAACAGATAGAAATAGCCTTCAAAGAGTGTTCTACAGCTGGACTGGAAGAACACGAAACTGTCCTTAATATAATAGATGCATTCACGGTGCCGAAGCTATGTTACGACTATGAACTGAAGAAATTCGTGAAAGACATCACTAACGAGAAATGTTTACTACCAGATCCCCGATGGAAGTCTCGCTTCATGATAGACAGGTACACAGTGATATGGCAGAGAACACTCAGGAATAAACTGTTCACATTAGACAAAGTGCATTCTTCTGAGAGTGATAAACGTTTTCAGTTGCGTCGAGTTGAGTTTTTACTAAGTTGCTCCAGCAGAGTCAATGATGTAGTTGTGTTGGGGCTGCTGACACAGGTTATTGAGAGACAGTACCATTTGGAAGACCCTACAGGCTCAGTGTTACTTGATATATCCAATGTGAGGTACCACTCTGGCTTGTTCACAGAAGGCAGTTATGTGTTAGCTGAGGGCTACTTCGAAGACAAGACACTACATGTGACTGGTCTAGTGCAGCCCCCAGTGGAGAGTAGAGAAGAGTCTTCCCCATATTTTGGTAACCTAAATACATTTGGAGGAAAATCAAGGACTTCTCTGAAGAACTCTAAATCTCTCTTGAAAATTGAGAATGACAATAGAGATGGTGTTATTGTATTTGTGTCTGATGTTTGGTTGGACAGTCCCAAAGTGATGGACAGACTGAAGAAACTATTTGCTGGCTTCGATGACTTTCCTCCTATAGCTATTGTTCTCATTGGTGAATTTCTATCATGTCCATACACTTATAAGTTCCATATGCACCTTAAGAATGGATTGAATACATTAGCGGATACAATATGTCAATTTAGGAATTTACGCGATTACTGCAAGTTTGTATTTGTACCGGGGAAGTCAGATCCTGCTGCAGCAAATGTTTTACCTAGACCGCCGCTACCAGAATACATAACAGATACAATACAGAGGAAGCTTGGTGACAGTGCAATATTTACAACAAACCCATGTCGAATACAATATTGTACACAAGAGATTGTTGTATTCAGACAGGATTTGGTGATGAAATTATGTAGGAATGTTTTACACTTTCCTGATAATGGTGATATACCGGATCATTTGACAAAAACTTTGCTAAGTCAGTGTTGTTTGACACCCATGTCCTTGGGAGTGCAGCCTGTGTTCTGGAGACATGCTAGTGCGTTAAACCTTTATCCGTTACCAGATCTTGTAGTAGTGGCTGATAATTTCCAACCGTTTGTGAGGAATTACAAGGAGTGTCAAGTTATAAATCCCGGTTCTTTCCCTCGTACTGAGTTTACATTTAATGTGTATGTTCCTGCTTCTAGGACTATTGAAGAGTCACAGATACCTAATGATGATGACGATGATGATGTTTAATGAAATATTTTTGTAATTTTCTTAATTTATTTTATTTTTTATGTTAATGATGAAGTCAGTTATGGACAAATTTTGTTTGATGCATTTTAATGTAGTAAAATATTTTTAAAGATCAATTGGAAACTTATTGTAAATGCCTTACAACATTGAGTGTTTATTTTAAATCCTTTATTCGAAATGTATTTGTTATAAATTTCAGTTTATTATAATTTAATCTGTCAAACACCGAGCGGTCACCGGTGACCGCGACCTATTGTTCTTTAATTGTGTCTATAAAACCGGTACTCGACGAGTTAATGCAATACTTTCAGACATTATGCAATACAACAATGTGATTTAAGTTTACATAACTATGAAAATTCTTGTATGTAAATGCAACTAATGTGTGTACAACAACATTCTGGAATAAATGTGTTTATTAATGTACATTTTATTGTTTTTGTATAAATAATTTTTATAGATGGCGCTTTATGTACTGGTATAGATGGCGTTGTATGTCATTTAAAACCAGTCAACGAATTACCTACTTATTGGAAAAATCTAAATAGCGCGATATAACCGAATTCAACGCGAGCGGAAAGCTATTTGTTTGTTTGTCTTAAACAGCAGAACGGAGGTACTAATTAATGTGATTTTTTAACTGAAGGTAGTTAAACGGATGGATAGTCACATAGACTACTTTTTATCCTTTTGTGACGTGAAAGCACAAACGTGACGGGTAAAAGCTAGTCTGATATATTTTTGACAAGTGAGCACAAGTGAGTGTCATGCCAATGATGAATTGGATGATTATTGAACCCCTATACTTATTATACTCTTTGGATTATTGACAATTAATTTTTTTATTATCATGATAGTTAAAGAGGCTGAATACTAATTTTATTAACCATTGAACCTCATCATCATTAACAGCCTATAAATGCCCACTGCTGAGCAAAGCCTCTTCTCACACGGAGAAGGTGTAAATATTACCTAATCACCACGGTTGCTCAATGCGGGTTGGCGATTACAAACTTATAATTAGAAATTATAAGCCCAGGTTTCCTCACGATGTTTTCATTTACCGTTTGTCATTGGTGTCTAGATAATCTTAGAAAGTACCTACATATAACTCGGAAAAAGTCACATTGGTACTTGCCGTGGGTAGGTTTCGAACCCGCACCCTTGCATGAGAAGCAGGCGTCTTAAACCTCCGGGCCACCACGACACCATTGAACCTATTGGATTGAAATTCGGATCAACGAGAGTTTGAGACACTGGCACTGGAAATGAAATCTCACGGTTCCTCACAGGAACTATGCATTAAAATTCCGGTCCTCTATTGCTTAAACCACTGAACCTATTTGAGTGCAACGATAGTTTGAGACTCGGAAAATGACGCCTGAAAGTTTTCAAACGCTGTACTCATTCGATTGGAATTTAAATGGAATTTTAATCACTGAAACCTCACGGGAATGAATAGGTACTATACGGGTTAAATCCCTGTAGGATTGTTTATTTTTTGAAATCACGAAAATAAACAACATCTATATATATAAAAGAAAGTCGTGTTAGTTACACCACTTATAACTCAAGAATGGCAGAATAGATTTGGCTGAAAATTGGTAGGGAGGTAGCTTAGAACCAGGAGACCGACATAGGATACTTTATAACCAACATTTTTTTTACTTTTTACTTAAAATCACGAACGGGGACGGGAAAAAATGGTTTAGGAGCTAGGTAGGAGAGCCTAGTGTCCTAGAGGAGGTTTCTTCTTATCTTCTAGTAGTAGTGAAACTCCGATGAGAGGTGTTGACAAGAATGATTTTATTTCGCCAAACTACGCTACTTATATTTCTATTTACATATTTACAACTAGACAAGATCCGATATAGTTAGGTGATAGTTTCGACCAATAGCGGCGCGCCGGCGTGCGCGGGGCGCGCGGGGTGCGGGGCGCCGCTTTGCACACGGCACTATCGGTTCCTTCCGTATAAGTATGACCGCGCGGCGCGAGCGCGCGCATTTCTCCGAGAGCCGGCGTCGAGTGAAGACTGAAGACTACCTACAGATGAATAAGAATGAATGAATGCAAGTACTCCGGCCTCCGGCTCCGGCTCCGCTTGCGCTGCTTGGCTGCTTGCTTCACCAAACCGCTTCTTTCGAAGCGATCGCTCGCGGCACGGTGTGATAACGCTGTTGCCGCAGTGATGATTATCGTTTCTATGCAAGAAAGTCGAAAACTGTCTTTTTCAAGACAATTGGTTTCTGGTTTCTTAAAACGGAGTCAAAACGTAAACTGTCTTTTTCAAGACAATTGGTTTCTTGTTTCTTTAAACGAGTGAGTCTATAACTTTGGTAAAGGTATTGTGGAAGGTATCTGGTATATGGAAAGGTATTCGGTGGTACTGGTAACTGGTAGGTATGTAGTCGTGCGGTGCGGCTACAGTACTCCCCCCCGAGCGAAGCGTACTGGGGTCTTGACGATTCTTCCTGTTCGCGTTTTTCGTACATCGCTGATGCTCGACGGAGGTTGACTGGGTTGATCCTGGATAGCCTCTGGTAGCGTTGCACAGTTGTCCGAGTTATCGTAATTAATGACGTAGGCAGGCTTCAGACGCTCGATAGACACGTTGGTAGTACCTCTAGGTGTTTGTAATGTGAAGTACTTGTCGCTTCTGCTGGAGACTAGGTACGGACCCTTGTACGGACGTTGCAGCGGTTTGCGAACTGCGTCGTCACGTACAAATACGTGGCTGCATGTTTGCAGGTCTTTGTGCACGAAGATACTCAGTCGGTTAGTGTGCGACTGATAAGCGGGCGTTAAGCTTGTGATAACACGATGCAAGTCAGCCACATAGTCGTTGTCCATCTTCGTGTAGGTAGGCGATGGCGATATGAAATCGCCGGGTAGCCGTAGTTCTTGTCCGTAGGTAAGTTGAGCGGCACTAGTGTTAGTGTCGGTGCGCGTAGCGGCTCGTAGTCCCAGTAGCACGGTAGGTAACTCGATCAACCATTTGTTGTTGTCGGCGAGTCGAGTCATGAGCGCGGCTTTCAATGTACGATGCAGCGTTCTACGATCCCGTTACTCTGCGGGTGGTAGGCAGTAGTACGAGTTCTTTCTACTCCCAGTAGCTGAGCGAGATTTTTGAATAAGCTGCTCTCGAACTGTCGTCCTTGATCAGTCGTGATTTTGATAGGACAACCAAAGCGTGATATCCATGCTTCATACAGCTTTCTTGCGACGACTTCGGCTGATATCTCTCGCAGAGGGACGGCTTCTGCCCAGCGGGTGCAGCGGTCGATCATAGTGAGTAGGTATCGATGTCCGCTCGAAGATGTAGGCAGAGGTCCGACGATGTCAATGTGTACGTGTTCGAAACGCTCGCTCGGTGGGAATGATGTGACGTCACTGTGCGTATGTCGATGTACCTTTGATTGTTGACACTGAATGCATGACTTTGCCCACTCGCCAATGTCGGTGTTCATAGACGGCCAGAAGTATCGTTGCTGCATTAGTTTGCGTGTAGTTCGAATACCAGGATGACTTGTATTGTGCACGGCGTTGAATGCGATGCGACGAAAGTCAACTGGTAGGTATGGACGAATGTGAGGCGTCGATACTTCGCAGTAAATCAGCTTGTTTGAAGTAGGTATGGCGATTTTCTTGAGTTGAATATTTGTTTGTTTAGATAGGTTGAGAATATTGCTGTCCTTTTCTTGTGCTTGCGATAGTTGATCGTAGTCTATCGGCGATGGTAAGTCGATCGTTTCAACGCGTGACAGTGCGTCGGCGACTACGTTGTTCGCTCCGGTCACGTGACGTAGGTCGGTCGTGAACTCGCTTATAAACAACAGCTGACGAGTGCGTCGTTGTGTGTCGTTGTCCGACGGCGGCTTGCGTATTGCGTAGGTAAGCGGCTTGTGATCGGTGTAAACAATGAGTTCTCTTCCTTCGAACATTTTTCTAAAGTGTTTGATCGCCATATATATTGATAATAATTCTCGGTCGAACGTACTATAACGTTGTTGTGTTTCTGAGAATTTCTTCGAAAAATAGCCGAGGAGAACCCACTTGTTGTTTACAAGTTGTTGTAGGACAGCTCCAGCACAGGTGTTCGATGCGTCACACATGAGTGATATTGGTTGAGTTGGTGACGAGGATGGGTGAGCGAGTAAAGCTGCGTTTTGTATGCTAGCTTTACACAACTCGAATGCTTGAAGTGCTTCATTGTTCCACTCGATTTTTGTTTTATCGCGTTTCTTGGAGTTATGTAGAAATGCGTTTAGCGGCGCTTGTATGTGGGCCGCGTTACGTATGCTGTCACGGTAAAAGTTCACCATGCCGAGAAATCGACGTAGGTCCGCTATTGTTTCGGGTTTGGGGTAAGCAGTGATAGCGTTGACCTTATCAAGTGGAGGTTCGATTCCTTCGCTCGACACTTGATATCCTAGGAACTTGACGTTTTCTTGACCGAAGACGCATTTTGACGGGTTTATAGTGATACCGTAGTCATTTAGTCTTCGTAGTACTTCTTGTAGATCTTCGATGTGGCGTGCGTTGTTTTCTGACGCGATGATTACGTCATCAATGAATGGAAATGCGAAGTCTAACCCGTTGAGTACTTGATGTATGAACCGTTGGAATGTCTGTCCCGCGTTTTTTAAGCCTGGACACATTCGGGGAAACTCGAACAAGCCAAACGGGGTTGTTATGGCTGTTTTCTCGATGTCGGGTTCGTAAACGGGTAATTGTTGGTATGCACGATTCAGGTCGAGTGTGGTGAAAATCTTCTTGCCGTGGAGTAGGTATGTGAAGTCTTTGAGGCGAGGTACAGGGTAGCGGTCGGGTTTAGTTACGTCGTTGAGTCTTCGGTAATCGCCGCATACCCGTATGTCGCCATTCTTTTTCGGGACGACGTGTAGTGGGCTGGACCAGGGACTTTTGCTTGGACGGCATAATCCCTGCTGCATCATGACTTCAAACTCTTTCTTCACGGCCAAGTATCGATGTGGGGGTA